GAGCAGCCGCGTGCGGTACGAGCATCGTGCTTCTGGGGAACTAGAGAATGTCGTGGTGAGAACCCCCAGTAGCAGCCAGAAACGCGTGTCATTCTATGATGCGGGTCCGGATGCCGCAGTGCTTTACGATGCCCTGGAACGGGGACGTCCCGATAAAAAGGCCCTGATCCGCGTGCTGCCGCGTTTGAGTGCAGACGAAATCATGGAACTCCGCGACGAGTACAAAAGACACAACAAGCTGCATGGGAAAGGAATCAACATTGCCAAGCTCATCCGCCTTAGGGTCGGAGTCGATGCGTTTGGCAAGGCGTGCCATGCCACCGCTCTTGGTCGCTGGGAATCGGAAGGCTTTTGGGCGAACTGCTATTATCAGTTGAGCAGCTCTAGGCGTGAACTCCTGATCGAATCTCTGTTTGGTCGCACCAACCGAGAGATCCGCGAGATCAAGAAGGGCTTCCAGGATTCGCGATATAAAGACAGCCTGGAAAAGTGTATGAAAGCCGAGTTGAAAGGAGACAAGTTCCGCACGGCGGTGCTCCTTGTCTTGGAAGAGAGCCGGCAGAGCGAGCGTGATCCAATTGATATGCGTCTGGTGGATGAAGATGTGCACAACTTGTATGCCGCGCTAATGACGCCCCATGGAGGAGAGACGCCTATGATTTACATTATTGTGCGGCGGAGTGACTCGCACTTACGGGAGGTCCTACGAGCGTATGAAAAGAGATACGGCCACAATTTTGCCAAAGCCATGATTAGCAAATCCCGAAACCTGGTGGTATGTCTCCGAAAAAGTTATCATTCTCGAACGTTGTCGATGGACTAACTAGGACTACAGGGAGAGACTCTGGCACATATTCTCAATGGAGCCATCAACCGGCCGATGCGCGATGCTCAGCTCCTCCACCAAGCCCTTCGCGAGTCCCGCCCGGGGAAGGAGCGGTCAGAGCTCCTGATCTCGCGCCTGGTCCGGCTGCACTGGGAACCGCGACACCTGGAGCGCGTGAAGAGCGACTTCAAGCGGCGATACGGGCAGCGCCTGGAATCGGCCATCGAGGAAGAGGTGATGACCAGCAGCGGTGAGAGTGATTGGGGGGAGTTCTGCATCGAGTTGGCGCGCAGTTCAAAAGTCTTGGCTAGTCGGGATTACTAGGACTCTTTTTCTCTCTCTCTCCCCCTCCCTCTTTCTTTCTTTCTTCGAGTGAAAGAGTGAGCGAGTGAGTGTATCTACGCCACTCGCTGTTCACGATTTACGATGGCCAGAGGAACAGTATGATGATGATGCTACTCTGACATGAGCGTTTCGACTGATGATAACGACCATGATGATCAAAATAATGATGACGACGCAAATGATAACGATGCGGTGAAAGTCTTATGTCTTTTCGGGAGATATTGGAGATAGATTGTTTACCATTAAGTATCAAGAAAACCACAATACCTACTCGTCTCGGATCGGGGGGTGAGGCGAGAGATGCGGCTGGACTGGAAAATTAGCGAATCCACCGTGGGGTTGGGGCCCAAACTGACTAGGGAGCCCCTAGACTAACCACAGTCTAGAGAGAGTAGCGCATCTCCGCCGTCCCTCAACAGGGTCAGAACTTGGTTAGCCCCCCTGATACATCAGGAGCTGACTCTGTGGATTTTAGGATAGTTAGCCAATGATATTCAGTGTTTTTGGAGATCCCTGAGTATTCATCTAAGACCATAACAAAGTATCGATTTACTATTTATGTATTCAATTGAGAGAGTTTTCCACCTGGATCGATCTGAGATCTTGTAAGGCGACGAGGGCCAAGCCAAGCAGCGGACCCGCCGCGACCGAGCGGAAAGAAGATGAGGATTGAAGAAAGACCCTGTCACACACCCTCTCCAGACCCTTAATAACTCGGAATATAGTCACTCCAACTCCCCTTTCTCTATCTTCCTAATCTACCTAACTACAGAACATGGTCCGATAGCTGACTCCTTACAGGCAAGCAGGCCTACGTCAGCAGTTCCGCCATACTAATCCAGCCATGCTATTCTTGTCCAGTGTGCCGAGATTCAACCCAAGCCACCGGGGCTCTCTAGTGGTGGGTGCGGCATTGCAGGCAACATTGGCCGTCAGTCAGCTCTGCCCTATTGGATCGCTCGCCCCAAGTGTACGTGGGTGCGAACATGTTTAGCGCTCTCTCCTGGTTCCATCTTGGTTCCCTCTCCTGACTTATGGCAGAAGTGGTGGGTGTGTCTGGACGGTGTTTGGAGACCTGCGCCGATCTTCGGGCCCCAGTCGAACAACTAACTCGACTATCTATCTGGGTCCGCGGCTTGGATTTTGGACACTCCAACCCGTATAAGGCGCGTGTATCTGCAAATCAGCCTCTGATGATTTCCTGCGCCATGGCTGATCTAGTTTTCCTTTTTCTCTCTCCTCACCTTCTTCCCCTTCCTCTTCCCTTCTCCGCCCCTGGCCTGTTCCTCGTCCGCTCGTTGGGTTTTTGCTTTGCTGGGAGGGTTCATCACTCTCCGCCCGAACCATGATTTGGTGTCTGTTCGCCTTGCTCTTTTCGCAATTCGCTCTTGCGCAGCGCCACGATGAGGATCTTATGTCTTTTGTGACAGTGAGTTTCATCTTTCCTTTTTTTGAAAGCTAAGTATGCCATGTGTTTGTTCTCGTGCTCACGATGATCGCCTCAGCTCCCCGAAGTTCGAGCCCTGAAATGGGAAATCACTCACCACGACCGGGACCGCGCAGCACCGGGATACTGGTTTGTTGCTCCCTACGGCATGATCGATCCCGAATCCCCGACTCGTAAGTATCTGCAGTATCAAGTCGGGCCCTATATCTATGACCAAGATGGCGTAAGACTCTACTACCCCACTGGTTTTCGAATCAGTCGTCTTGTCAACATGACTGACTCAATCGTGGCGAGCAGGTTCTCATCTGGGCCGGATCCCCCATGTTCGATAACCGGAACACCTTCGACTTCAAAGCGGTACACAATATTGACGATAAACCTCACTTGTCCCTGATTGCGCAACGGTCCTTCGATGAAACTGTCCCGGGTAGCGGCCTTATCTTGAGTCAGCATTATGAGGTGGAATCGGAGGTCTTCAAGCTTAACGATACTTGGGAATTCAATGTTCACGAGTTCAAAGTCATGGATGGAGGCAAAACAGCCCTGGCCTGTGTCTACCAGTCGAAAATGCTGGACATGGCTGATGTCGGCCGTCCGGGGGAACAGAAGCTTTTCCTGACGGGTGGATTTGCAGAATTGGATTTGGCTACCGGTGCACCGCTGTTCGAATGGGACTCGTCCGATCACCTGGGCTTGCATGAGACCGACCGCTTTCACACCTGGGAGGAGCCTATGGGCCAATGGGGATTCGACTCGGTGCATATGAATGCAGTCGATAAGAATGAGGCTGGCGACTACATCATCTCGATGCGCTTCACCGATACTATCTATATGATCTCCGGCGTAGACGGCCGCGTGATGTGGCGACTGGGTGGCCCTGAAACCAACTTCATCCAGGACTTTGTCTTTTCCAAGCAGCACGATGTCAAATTCGTCTCGTCGAACGGGACGCACCATATCATTTCGTTCCTGAATAACGCCTCCGACGAGATTACCACCGACGAGACCGTATCGTCAGGCCTATTCGTCGAGCTGGACACGACCGCCAACCCGATGACCGCCCGATTGATCGCCCGCTACAACCGTCCCGACGGCCAGCTATCTCGACTCCGCGGCAACACCCAACTCCTCCCCAACGGCAACGTATTCGTTGGCTGGAGTCAATCAGGCTACCAGAGCGAATTCTCTCCAGAGGGAGACGTCTTGATGACCGCCCAGTTTGCATCGGACCGCTTCTCGACCTACCGCGCATACAAATACGAGTTCACTGGCCGGCCTCGTGCGCCGCCCGATCTTGTAGCGTCCGTATACGGCACAACCGAGGACGATCTAACCACGATCTTCCACGTCAGCTGGAACGGCGCCACTGATGTAGCCGCCTGGAACTTCTACGCCCAGGCATATGACGGCGGAGCCCCCGTGCTTATCGGCAATGTCAGCAAGACCGACTTCGAAACCATGTTCATTGCCCATGGCTTCCTCGACTGGGTATCTGCCGCGGCTGTCGACCACCAAGGCAACGTGATGGGTACCTCCGCCGTACATCGCACCCAGACGCCCGATAACTGGGAGGCCGCTGGATTCGTCGGATCATCAAAGGCTCCTTCCCCGATTAACCCGTCGAGCATCTACAAGGAGGCCCAGGCGGGCGCGGACCACTCCTCTGCCTTGTTGTCGGACGGTGATACCAAGGACCTCCTTGCGGCGCTTTCTCAAGCGTATCAGGTCGTGCGTGGTCTTGGGAATCTGCTTATTTTCATTCTGGTTGTCTCGTCCTTCGCGGGAGTGCTTTTGGGCGCGTTTTGGGTCCTTCGGAGGAGGAGGATTCAGCGCTCGCAGCCGTACCGACATGTGCCTTCGGAGGAGAGTTTTCCTATGGAGGAGACGCCGTTGCGGAATAATGCTTCGGATTAGAGTTGACGGATTGAAAGGAAAAAGAGACTGTTCCATTTTGTGTATATTTTATTTAGTATAGCTGCGACGATTCTTGTATATAGATATGTACCTTTGCATGTGTGTCAGTATTCCCCTGGTTATTTGTCTGGTCTGGATATTATTTGGAGTAGGATAGAGGCATCATCTGTAGACAGTTCTACCTGAGTGAGAAGAGAATTCCCACGCATGTCGATGAAATAAAGGTATGCTCTCCTAAGCAGTAATTCGGCCCGATATTCTTAGTCGCCAACGCAATGAGTGAGAGTAATGGCGCGATTCTCGGAGTTGCGGACTATTTGTTATCTAGCCAGTAGTATCTCCCTACTTCATGCTTTGTCTCCAGTCGACAATAGCATATGTATTGTATGCAGCAGTAGAACTTAGTTGTCGAGACTAGTTTTGTAGTTTGAGACATTAGTTATTAGTAGTGGCATTAGTAGTAGAATGGTTTTGTTGATTATAGAATAATTATCTATTCATTAGTTGTTGAAGAACTTTAAGGATGCTACTGCAGTAGATAGTTACTAGCAATCAGCTAGCCTGTCTTTGCTTTTATTCTTCATTTTCTTCGTGTCAGTCAACACGACATTGTTGGTGGGTCGGGTTGCATCCATGGTTCGGAGGATGTTGGTTCTGGGAATGAACAATCAAACAAGCAAACAATCAAGCCATTGTTCCTGGATTACCCGTGGATACTACCCCCCGACCGCAACTATATTGTAGACCAATGTGGGAGCGATGTCTTGGTTATTATGCATTCTGAAGCTGTCTGCGCTTCGTGTATGCTACCACTGATGTCTGTGAGACACATGGTGCAGCATACTACTTGTGCTGTCCCGATGTTCTGCAAGAACATCAGATCATGCTGCTGGTTGTTGATCGATCGCTGCATTGACTCGCAGTCAAACCCCTGTGGCAAAGATCAAGCACAAAAATCTGAAAATAGAACAGCACAAAAAGCAATGTGGGCTTATTGTTGCCTGGTACCTGCATTGGCGAGGTGACCGATCAATTTTCGGTGGAACGATCTGGGATCTTGAGCTGGGAATCTTACTGAGAGTAGAATAGCTGGTGAGGAGAAGCCCGGCCAGAACTCCGCGTCGGTCAGCCTGCCGCCATCCGATCCCCGGGGAGGTCAAGGCGTCCATCTCCAAATCTCTCTCCCTCATCTCCACATCTTCAGCGCCATGGTCGATGCTCAGTGGTCGAGTGCAGTCACACTGCAGCCATGCGGACCTCTTCCCGGTACCTCTTCCTCTGACTGGTGGACTTCATGGTTCCTGGACGCAGGGGAATGAGGGGGAACCCCCGAGGTATCTATTTTCTCACATGATGCTATCACAAATGTCGGTCACACTGACGGGCTCCAGTTATTCTGCTTGTCCACCCGCTGTAGGTTCGAGTCCACGCCGATGCTGGCCGTTTAGCTTTGCTTTCCTCCCCTTACTGAAAACTGTCGTGGGGCTGCGATCGATATGGGTTGTGACTTCGATGGGATATCCGGTCTGGCGGTGACTGATCGACTCCGGATGTTGACTTTCGATGGCCACGATACGATATATGATTTACCCTCCGGGTGCAGCAAATTCAGAGTTCTGCAGGAGGACACCGTAAGAACTCTTGTTCGGTGGGAGGATCGATTGGCACCGACGCCATCTTACCTCCTGCCGTTTTCAGACGGCCTCCTTTTCACATGGAGGATGCGTGTCTTCCAACAAAGTTGTTTGTCAGTGGTTTCACCCTCTTGCCGGCCGCATCCACTTCATGTCTCCGCTGCGATAACTTCGGTGAAATGCCTTGTCACCTGTATCCTCGGTTAATCTATAGTTATTGCTAGTGTGGACTCATGATATTGTCACTCGGCCATATCCGCTTTCAGTAAGTAGTCATTTGCACCCGTGCCGCTTGCAAAGACCATGGGGCCTTGCTTAACATTGTTTAGTCCAGTTGCGTTCCTCAAGGCCCCAGTCCATGGGCTCACCTGGATTTCACGACAGTATATTTCTCGAGCTAGTGGCGTCCTGCTTTGACCCATTGATTCTCTTCTTGGCTGATTCATTTGCTTTTGGCCCGAGGCTGTCCTGCAAGCGTAGCGTTGTGTATGGGAAATGGCTCCGCGAGACCACATACCTTAATTAAACACTTCTTGGTAAGACTGGATCACACTCAGCCACGGCCCCCCCAATACCGTCCCCCTTTCTTCCATGAATAACATCTTTGCTTTTCTCGGACATATGGATGCAGACCGCATGGGTCCTGTCCACTCGGAGGCTGACAGGTCAGACGACGCTGGGAGGTAATTTCTTATCGCGCAGTTCCATGCCGTCTTCGAGAACTTGGTTATATTTTATTTTTGACTGGACTCTCCTGACGATCAGGTTGTTGCTTTTGATTCAAATATGCCCCCATTCCCTCCTTTCTTCCCGGAATGCTGAATCGATTGCCTACACCTTGAAGTGTGCCCGACATTCCAGTCCCCATTCCAGGTGCCACATATCTCCTTATATCTAAAGAACCTTAAGTGTTTTGGCATTGCCTTTCCCGTGGGGAAATAAACACAGAAGGAGTACTGCTATAAAGGACTATGTTTGCCGATTGATTGTCTTGCAGTCAAAATTCATAATGTATCAATTTTTCATAAGTTTATTGGTGACGGTGCTGGCCTCTTCGGCCAGGGCTACCTCTGTCTTCTCGCCTGCCCGTCCTCCTGCGATACCGCTGGCTGTCAAATCGCCTTACCTGAGCACCTGGCTGTCTGCAGGGAGCGATGGAGGCAACGGTGGCTATCTTGCGGGAGAATGGCCGATTTTCTGGTCGTAAGTAGTCCTGCGTATGGTATTTGGTCCGGAGCAAAACGGAGGCTGATTCTTGCTGTTGGATTAGTGGCCAGATTACTGGCTGGGCTGGAATGATTCGTGTTGATGGCAGTGCTTACACCTGGATGGGAATCCCTGGACCGGCGACTGTGAACCAAACTTCCTATGAGTACACGTCTACGAAAAGTATCTTCACCATGAATGTCGCCGACAAGGTGGAGATGAATATTACGTTCCTTTCGCCAATTACACCAAACGATTACAAACGCCAGTCGCTCGTTTTCTCCTATGTCGATGTGCAAGTTGAATCTCTTGATGGCCAGGCCCACGATGTGCAGCTGTATGCTGATATTTCGGCGGGTGAGTATTTGCCCTACTTGGCGGAGATGCCTCCGCGTGGCAATAGGATGCTCATTGTCTGACTTCACATAGAATGGGTGTCGGGAGACCGGACCACGACTGCAACATGGGATTACGGTACTACCGATAATGGTGTCGCCTATCACAAAGTCAGTCGCCAAACCCAGCTCGCTTTCTCCGAGGTCAGTGACCAAGGAGAATGGGGAGACTGGTACTGGGCCACAGACAACAGTGAAAACTTGACCTACCAGTCTGGTATAGCTGATAATGTCCGCGCAGCATTTGCTGCGAACGGAACGCTAGGCGACTCACAGGATTCTGACTATCGTGCCATATCTACCGACTGGCCTATCTTTGCATTTGCTCATGACCTTGGATCTGTGGAATCCGCAGTCTCGGTTCTATACTCTATTGGTCTGGCACAGACCGACGCAATTCAGTACGAAGGAAGTAGCAGTGGATCCACCATTCTACCTTCGCTGTGGACCAGCTATTTCAGCACGGGGCCGGAAGCTGTAAGTTTCCACGAGATGAATAACTCTAGGGCTATACTAATGCCGCTTTCAGCTGGACTTCTTCCATAATGATTATGCTACATCCTCATCGCTCTCGTCGGACCTTGATACTCAGATAGCCCAGGATTCCATTGCTGCAGCTGGACAAGACTACCTGACAATCACTTCTCTCACGGTTCGTCAGGCTTTTGGTGCATGCCAGCTGTGCGGAACCCCGGACAACACCTACCTGTTCATGAAGGAAATCTCGTCCGATGGAAACGTGAACACGGTCGACGTTATCTTCCCAGCACACCCCATCTTCTTATACACGAACCCTGAGCTTCTTAATCTGCTGTTGAAGCCACTTTTCGAGATCCAGGAGTCTGGGAATTACCCCAACGCATACGCCATGCACGATGTAGGGAGCCACTATCCCAACGCTACTGGCCATCCTAAAGGCGATGATGAGGCGATGCCACTGGAAGAATGTGGCAACATGGTTATCATGGCCTTGGCATATGCGCAGAAGGCAAGCGACACGGATTATCTGTCCCAGCATTATACCTTGCTCAACCAGTGGACGGCGTACCTTGTGGAGGATGCAATCTACCCTGCCAACCAAATCTCGACAGATGACTTTGCAGGCAGCTTGGCGTATGTGCAAACCCCCGCCTCATATGAGTCTTAGATTCTAACAACAGGCTTAGGAACCAGACCAACTTGGCCTTGAAGGGCATCATCGGTATCGAAGCCATGGCTGTCATTAGCAACGAGACTGATCACTCTGCTAATGGAGCCAACTACACTGCCATTGCTCATAATTACATTGACCGATGGCAAATTTTGGGCATCGCACACAATGCCAACCCTCCTCATGCAACACTTGCTTATGGCTCCAACAACAGCCACGGTATGTTTTCCTTGAATTCATACCAAAACTTAAATGCTAACAGTCTTGCAGGTCTCCTATACAACCTCTATGCTGATCGCGAGCTGGGCCTAAACTTGGTCCCACAGTCCGTATACGACATGCAGAGTACATTCTACCCCACTGTTCAACTAGAGTACGGAGTACCGCTCGACACTAGACATGAATACACAAAAGGTGAGCTTTACAAACCCACGGTGGTGATATACTTACTAATCTATTCTGCGCAGCCGATTGGGAAATGTTTACTGCGGCCATTGCATCAACCAGTACTCGAGACATGTTCATGCAGCTTCTATCAAAGTGGATCAACGACACACCCACAAACTACGCAATGACAGATCTCTACGATGCAGTTGGCGGGGGGTGAGTACTAACAGGAAAATAAAACTTGACTTCAATTAGCTAACCTATCCATTCCCAGCTACCCAACCAACGTCTTCATCGACCGCCCCGTCGTGGGAGGTGCCTTTGCCTTGCTCCTGCTCAACCAAGGCAACTAATTCTCTCGTTCTATTTCGACTTATCCTTGCAACTTTTGCATAATATTCCCTGCTTGGTTCAGTGGAGCCATTCCATTCTTCTTCAGCATTCGATGTGCAGGTCACTCGTTATACATTCATATTGAGCTCTCGATTGTTACTATTGTTGTATATTGCTAAAGCAGGGATATTGCCCCCGTCTTCTTACCACTTTCGTTTTTCTCTTATCAGTGGCTACTACTGTTACATGCAGAGGGGCTACAGTGCATTGGGCAACATCGAGTACATAATTATCTTCATAGGCCGCTGCAAATATTATTCTATTGTCTTTCACTTTCTTACCCCTAGTATAAGGTAAAGAATTAGACTGTCAGATCGATAGACAAATACGTGGTTGCATTTGGCTATATACTGGAGCTATTCGTGGAAACATAGATCTGGTTCTCGTTGAACTCCAGGAAAGACATGAACTTTTGGCGCAGTAGACCACATGATTCATAACCATCATTCATCCTGAGCCACTCTAAAGAGTAGGAGAGTTCCTACAGACTCACAGCACGTCGTGAGCGAGTTCATCATCAGCAGTCGCCGACGCAGCAGAAATGACAGATGAATCAGTCCGTCCATCGAAAGAGCGAATAAGATCTAGAGACACAAGTTAGTGATACGAGTATCCATAAGAGGAGAAATACATACCGTAATACAACATCATCGCCTCAAGATGAATATCAATATCGATCCTCTCATCAACAGTATGAATATTCAGCGCTTTACCCGCCCTCGACGGACTCCACCTGTAAATATTCCTCGACAAAGCCCAGTAGAATCTCGTATCCGTATTCCCGGTCATGATGTCGCCGCTCACGACGACCTTTCTGCCCTCGAGACTAGGGACAGATTCGAAGACCGAGCGAGTGACGCCCGAGAAACGGGCCCAGACGGCGTCGGTGTCGATGTCCGTTGGGCTGACCGGGGCGGGGCTGAGGGCGCCGCTGAGGGTAGTAAGAGTGAGGTGGTTGTTGAGGGAGGGGTCGACGGTGTCGCTTTCCGGGAAGGCCGTGAGGGAGAGGTTATATTTCTTGACGATGGGGGAGATGATCTCCACGGCGCGGTTCTTGATATCGTCTGGGGTTTGGTGCAGAGCGATGCGGTAGTTGACGAGGGCGCTGATTTTCTCGGGGAGAGCGTTGGATTTGACGCCGCCGTTGATGATGTCTGCTGCTTGGGAGGTTTGGAGGATGAAGCGGAACTTGTCGCCGCGCGAGGAGGCCAGTTTCTCTGCTAGGGAGATGTAATCGCTTGATTGGAGGGCAGAGGCAAGCCACGGTTCGACTTGCGAGGGGGAGTGGCGGACTTGGCATTCGAGCATTTTGCGGGTCGGGTGGTGAGTGTCTAGGACGGGGACGAAGAGGTCCTGGCGTTCTAGCTCATAGATGATCTCGGCGATGATGCCGATTCCCGTGTGTGAAGGGGGCACGGAGCTGTGGCCGCCTGGTACGGCCAGAGTGAGCACAACGTCGATGCTGCCCTTTTCGCCGACGCCGGGGAGAGCGTAGACGACGCCGTTGTTGTTGTCGTCTAGAACTTCGAGGCCCATGCCGCCTTCGTCGAGGACAAATTCGAAGCTGTCCGGTCCGTATTTCTTCTCAAGGAATTTGGCGATGGATCCGGCGCCGAGGAAGCCGTGGGATTCTTCGTCGAATCCGAAGGCCAGGACGACTGTGCGCGTTGGCTCCCACTTTTGGGAGAGTAGGTCTTCAACGACGGACATGAGACCGATCAGGACGTTCTTGCAGTCGCTGGCACCGCGGCCCCAGAGCCATTCGCCGTCGTAGTGACCGTCGAAGGGGGGATAGGTCCAGTCGGCAGGGTCGTTGATGGGCACGACGTCCTGGTGTGCGGTGAATAGCAGGGGCTTGAGCGAGTCATCTGTGCCATTGAGGGTGAAGACGAGACCAAATCGGTTGATGTGATCTACGCGGGCGTAGGAGTGGCTAGATTGCGTTAGATGGAGCCATGAAGACGGGGACTGGGGACGTACGTGAGGGGAAAGAGGGTCTGCAGGAGCTTCTGGAAGTCGAGGAATGGGGCGAACTTCTCATCGTAGGGATCCTTCATGTAGTCGTCGATCGCGGTCGGGACTTGAACCGCCCTGGAGAGACGATTGACTTGGCGCGACTTGAACGAGGCATCTTCTACGAACTTGAGAGCTGGAAAGAAACCGTCGTCAGGAACCTCAACTTTGGGTGCCAGCGGACAGAAGCCGTCGGTGTGCTCTCCGAAAGTGAGAGAATCGAGGATCTGCTGCGGCGAAGGGATGCTAAGGGCTGCAATTGAAGGGGCAAGCAGCCCTGCGACAAGGGGAAGCAATTGAAACTTGGTCATCTTCGATGCCGAGAGCACTTTCTGCAGAAGACAGGAACCCTGGGGGAATCGGAGGATAATAATGAGGAGAAGACAGGGCCGAGGCTACGTCAAAACATGGGGTTATCTTATCGCAGAGTTGCGCAATCATTGCCGTGATAGCCTTTCCCCTCTCCGTATCGCTCGGGTTGATAAGTTTGGCGGTCGGAAAGCGGATGGAACCGCTCAGCTTGGGGAAAGAATTGCCATAGCAGGAAGGTCGAGGCAGGCGAGATGGAAGAGGCAGAGAGCAATGTTGGGGGGGGCTGATAGCATGCAGTAAAAGGTGCAGTGATGCATTAGATTTGAGTATATAGCGGATAACTTCACGAAGGCATTGGAATTGCGTTGCAATTGCAGTGGCATCTGCATTGACCAGAAAGACCTTCGAAGTATTATTTCCCATCGTAATGTCAATCGACACTCAGCATAGCATCGGCCGAGCTCCGTCCAGCAGCGACTAGATAGTTAGTAATTTAGTGATCCTGCTGGATGGTGACAAATCAAGGGATGCAATGTTAGTCATTAGTCTCACAAGGATTGCCAATAGCGACACCCCTTTCGTTCACTTGTTGCATATTATCGTCGGCCGGCAACCTTCACAGTCAACATTGACTGGTGGGAGTTCCACAGCCCGGGACTTGCCTCCCTACCATTGCAGGGGCCGAATAAATTGTCAGACATGAGAATCGGCCGACACACAACACAGCCTTAGCCATGAGGCTGTCTGCAACAAGTTCTGCAGACGTCAGTGCATCTCAGTGGCGCGATCAAGCTTGTGGATGATCGGCGCCTAATATAGCCGGTGATTTATGCGGAAGATTCGAACACTGACAGAAGCAAATTAGCGGAGTGGCTGACGCTAAAGCAGAGCGAGTGCAACTAAGTAAGAACTATAAGAATGTCGAGGCAGACAAGGAAAGAGTGTGAGACCAAAAGGGGGAAGATGGAAGTATCAGGTGCCAGTCTCGTGATCGGCGCTAAACAAGGCGAAAAAGTACAATGCAGCTTCAGGATGGCTCCCTTTACTCTATTTTTCTCCATTTCTCCATTCTGCCTGCCAAGTGCCAACTTTGCTATCCGACTTCGGTTCCATGGGTCAGGAACAAAACAAACAACAAGCGAGCATCCACATCTGAAGATTCTTAGAATACTATCTAGGTAGCCCCAGTCCGACCAAGACACAGCCTCGCCTAGCAAATCAGATTTTCGCAGACCATGAACGTCATCCTTTTCCTCCCCCACAGGGGCTCCCAAACCTGACGACATCCACAGGGCCAAAAGAGTCTGACAATCGATAGTCGGCCGCGTGGTGGTCTCAGAAAGCAATAGTGCGACGATCGTTACATCACCGGGACAAACAACATCCCTCGCTCGGGTACCTGGCGAACGGTGTATCCGCATTGCGGAGGCTTGTAGCCACTCAAATGGGTCCTCCCAAGACCAACACGACAGCAACGATGATGAAACATCGCCCCCAAGACAGCAAGGGATCGGCCATAACGCGCGGGACGTGGAGCCGAGCGAACCATTTTGGAATCCGGAGAATCAGATGGGCGTTCGTTCACGCGATCTTCAGATCGGCATTCTACTGCGTTTCACACGCCGATTTTTGTGTCAAGTTCGGGTGTTCCAAAATCCCAAGGGGTTGGGTCGAGGTGCCAACCATCCCTAACGATGGGATAATCGGATGGATCATATTTAGGTTATGCCTGCCAGTGAGTTCTGCTGATATCAGATGTTTCATCTCGTTCTTTTATTACTTTTCTCTCGTTTTTGCTTGCCGGTATATAACTACTACATACATACATACAAAATCCCACTCTTTCGCTCATTTTGAAGAAAAACGAAAAAGGAAAATAACCTCATAACTTCCATTCTTTCACCACCATGCCTAAAGCTAGTGCCACCAAGATCATTTCCCTTTCTATCTTCTCCCTTCTCACCACTGCTTCTGCCTACACAACCGTAGGCTGCTATAGCAGTCCCGGCCAGCTAATCTCAGCGGGCACCTTTCAATTCCAATCCGAAGGCTACTGCCAGCAAATCTGCACGAAGCAAAACAAGCCCATCTTCGCCCTCCACAACGGCGACGAATGCTTCTGCGGCGATGCATTGCCCCCTTCAACAGCCAAGGTCTCTTCCACACAATGTCAAACCCCTTGCTCCGGATTTCCATCTGATCCTTGTACGTATACTCCCATAAGGCCCTCGTTAGTCAACCCAACAGGACCCCATACTAATGCATAAATCACTATAGGCGGCGGCACCAATGCATGGCTAATCAACAACTCCACCACCATCTCGCAGCCCACAACCGACAACAACATCGTCACAGAACTGAAACGTGAATCCACAGACAACGTCGAGAATGGCATCGTGATTGCCCCGGAGTCCGATGACTCCGACTCATCCTCAGGCAACTCCAACTCTCCTGAGACCATGACAGTCAATCCTACCATGGTGGAGACCGGCATCCCTATCGCCCCCAGCTCCGGTGCAGACGGAGGCGCAGCTAAATCTACCATCCCGAGTGTAATTCTTACGGCGCCATCCATGACGGGCGTCACTGTTCCGGCTACTGGTGCTGCTGCGGCGTCGTCTATGGTTGTTGCGGCGTCGTCTGCTTCGGCGTCTGCCACGGCTGCTGCATCCGGAGCGGCGAGCAGTGGTTCGGCCGCCGCGAGCCCATCAACTAGTGCGGGTGCCGCTGCTGCTGTCGCTGGTGCCCCTGTTGGTGGGATGATCGGGGGTGTGGTTATGGCGGCAATTGTTGCGCTCGGACTGTAGATATGTCTTTCTACATCCTACATTCTAAGCGGATGGAGTGGATGGATGGATGGATTTATTGATTCAAGCGGGGATGATTCATCATGTATAAATAGCTACGGATGTACGGTATGGGTACAGGGCTAGGCATTGAAGGTACTTACCTATAATAGGCTGGGGTTAATCGCGGGTTCGATGCGACATGTACTTTTTGCTTCTGCTGAGCAGTAAGTGAATTTTTCAGTGAGAGTCACTCTTGTTTTAAGATATCCATTTCAATATGTTCTATTCAACTATTTCCTTGGAGAGTCAATCCACAATTAAAGCCATCGGCATCTGGAGGCGTTTCGGAGATAATTACCATATAGGACAATAAACAATAGTCCGCAGGATCAATGAGGCTAAGCCCTCATCTGGACTACTTAACGTGCCATCAACCTCCACAGTAGATAGCCTAGCTTCCTCGCCACACACAAGAATACGAGGAGGCACCGACGGATAAAGTCGGTGAGAAAATGGCCCCCATTTCACAGCCCAATTCTTCGTCAACCCCTCCCCCTTAAAGAACCATCAAAGTCCAATACGTACAAAGATGGGTGTCTGACCAGCCCTGTAAACCGGCCCCCACTTTATCTGCAAGGCTCTGAAGAAAAGAAAATACATTGGATGGCCCGAACGTAGCAATGATGCGATTAATATCCAGTCATCTTATAGGGATGTATCCTGCAATGCAGGATTCATTATCAGCTGCCAGCCCATAGCAGGATTAGTTACTTATGTTTAGTTGAATTCGCAATGGGGCTCGCCCGCTCGCTCGAGCTCTTTTTCTTTCTTCTTTCTTCTTTTTTTCTTTTCCCTTCGGGCAGCAGTGTCCCAGGGACACGAGCATCTTCGTGTCTTCGTGTTTTCACTCTCCAATTTCATCCGTAATTCGATTCTTTTCTCTTGACTTAATAGTATAGAACGTGGCCCTATATCTTTCTCCCTTTCTCCTTTCACTATGATTGTTAAAGGAATCCGCGCGACAGCGCTCCTCCTCGCGACATGCATATCGACAAGCAGCGCAACAGCTACATGCTACTTCCCCGACGGGTCTATCGCCAGCAACAACGTCCCCTGCTCATCGGACACGTATTCCGCATGCTGCGGCAAATCTGACGTCTGTTTATCGAATAACCTCTGCATGGATACGGGGGAACAGCCATATGTTCTCTCCCGGGGGGCGTGCACGGATCCAAATTGGGAGTCGGACAATTGTCCGTCTGTTTGTCGTACGTACTTGATTCGTAGAGCTTTTTGAGTTGATGGATGAATATGTGTGGGGGAATTGATCATCGCTAATCTGGATGTGTTCTATAATGTATAGAAGACATCAACAAAGATGGCGGCTGCTCTATTATCAATCTCCTCTATAAAAATGGCGTCTCGACGTATTGCTGCGGTACTCCGATAAGCAATGGTAGTGAGGTTATTTGCCCGTATGGGAACTCGTTTGAGGTCGCTACGGGGAAGATGCTGTTTGGGTATGCTGCGCTTGCGAACTCTACAGCGGATGCGTCGTCGGGAAATAATACGTGCGCCTCTTCCAATTCGTCGTCCGTGGTGGCATCTCCATCTGCCTCCTCGTCTTCTTCTTCCTCCTCCTCATCCCCTTCTTCTTCGCGGGATACAGCCATCGGTGTTGGGGTTGGGGTTCCTCTGGGCGTTATTGCAGGTGCTTCACTTGTGTGGGCGGTTTGGGAGAGGAGGGAAAGGAAACGGATGCAGAGGCCCAGTGGTGGTGGCAACATGGCAATGGAGCAAGGGTACTCTGAGGCCTTTGTAAAGACACAGCGACCGCCGGTTGAATTGGAAGTTAATGGGACGAGGCATGAGCTGCTGTCATAATATTGTGAGTCGATTGATTGTTAGATGCCCTGGTTTCTCGAATGTGCACGATATTCATTACGATTTGACCAAGGTGAACAACAGGGTCAAATGATACCATAATTAGTTATTATGGGAAAGCACTGTATTCAGTGTCCGGAGGGTTGACATGGGCGCTTTGGACGTTGGGTTCATCAAACGAAATGCCACTCGTGCCTTGACTTGAAAGAGCAAGCGCGTCCTGGTTCGGGTCGCTTTCGTCTAGAGATACGTAATCCTGAAGTTGCATGTTCATTTTGGCAAGGCCGGGAAACCCCAGAAGTGACCCTGTGATCGGTCCGTCTAGGAAGAAGCCTGGATCGTATATCTCACAAATGTTCCCAGACAGCGGCCAGGTTTGATTGATTGCCATGAGTGGCGAAGACCCGGAGTAATCAGGAGCAAGAGACGGGTCTGCCATCTGGTTCATGCTGAAGCCCAAGTCCATTAGAAGATCATCTGCAGGAGACGAGTTACTCAATGGGGTCTGCTCGTTCTGACCAGAAAGCAGTGCTGATTGGGGAACGGAGGTTGATCCAAGATATTGAAAGGCCTGTTTCGCACGCTTCAGTCTCTTCTTCACCGGCAGTAACGCTGCTCCAAGCCGAGACACTACATCGCCTTTACAGGCTTGATGCAGCTGGTCGGCAAGGTGGACTAGCTGGCTTTGTCTTAAGCTGATCATATTGCGCTCCTCAATCGATCCACGCTCGTATTTCGCATATATGTACGAAAATCCCCTGCTGCAAGTGTCTAGAGCATATAGCATTATATTGGATCCATTGACGCCTCGAAGCTCTTGCGTAGGCATCAGACTAGTCACTTGGAAATGGCTTTGTGGAGTAATAGCAAGAAGCGCGGAAGCCGACAGACAAAATGAATCCATGACTGATTGCGAGATCATCGGCCGTTCTTGACCACTTTTGTCTCCAGAAAAAAGCATGTGAATAGCAATACTATGGTACGCATTCAATAGCAAAGACCGTGAAGATACTATGGTGACCTGGCTCTCCACGAGTTCGATGGCATGGAGGAGGATCCTATGCATCCTCGACGCCAAAACAGATCGATCATAGCAAGGCTGAAAAAGCCGATGTAACTCGTGAAGATGCTGTTTTTGCCATGGCACAGCTTGCTCTTCTTTATTCTCTGTAGGCGCATTGAGATACAGCGTGTAGATATGGGCCACTGTACTGGTGATGTGACTGAGTGGCCACAGACACCGAGTAGCCTGGAATTGGGCCTGTAGCGTGGAGATGTTTCCCGATTCGCGGTCTAAGCGGAGAATGGCTGAAGCTGCCTCATCCAGGCACGGGAAGTCGGGCGTCGTTTCCGGAGTGAGCAACGAGAATGGCTGATTGCTTTGCATGAACACCCATGTTGTGGTGGCCAAGCAGAGCCAGTAAATGTTCTGTGCCAATTCTTGTTCGACGATACCTATATCCACGCCATTAAGCTTTCTGCCACACTTCCTGCAATCATCAGCCTGCCAAAAGGTGTACAAAGTGGCAATTGTACGGCAGGCATAGCCTGTGAAGCAGGTAGCGCGTCGGGCATGGCCGAGGCACAACTCCCTCCATCCTACCAGAAACAGTGCCTGAGCTGTAGAAAGAACCGAGGAGTGTCCAAGCACCACTGTGCGCTGCTTCAGCTGCAAGATAGCAAAGTTGTGTAGTGTCTGAGGATCATTTGGAATATCTTCATGCAGCTTGCTCACGATAGGCTGTATATCACATGCATCAGCCAATATGACTGCTAGAAGGGCCTTATCCACTGTATCATCCTGGATTGCCGTGATTAGCAGCGTTTTAGAGACCAGAGGTGACAATGGATGGGCCGAAAACCACACATCAACCAGCTGAATGATCAGGTGCTTTCCCAGCGCCATCAAAGGATCGACATCAAACTCGAGACTGTCGAACATTGTACGCGTGGTGTCCGCTGCCAAGGTTGACACATAAAAATTCTGATTCGGAGCCTCCAATTGCGGAACTCCAAGGAAACTAAAACGGAGCGGCAGGATGCCCACCATCTCCGACGCCATAAAGGACAGCAGCCCATCATAGGGCAAAGGAAGCTGTATTGGACGAAATGGGGGTTTCCGAGGCGACTTGTCCAATTCCCGCTGATAGGTGGCAATTGCAGTTTGAAAGAGATTAGAGCCCGAGTCAGTTTTCGTGATAAAGTAGGCATCGAATCTCCGGTCCAGCTCATCGCCAACATGAATATTCAGGTCGGAGCTGGTTGCAGAATCCTCGTGGCCATGGGCTGCCGAGTCGGGTGCCAAGGAATTCTCTGCAGATGCCCCCGACTGCAATGGCGACGAATTATCGCTTCCATTGTTAGTATGTAGTTCCGACGTCAACGGAGGCTGTGATGTTGTTGTTCCTCTCTGCGCGGGCCGTCCCTTTCGAGCTTCCAGACTGTATTCGCAGCTAAGGTTGCGCTTCCGACAGGCACTGCATATAGATTCACCGGAACATCGAATCTTACGAGTACGACAGAAGACACAGCTGCGTCGCAGACCCATGGTGAGATATGGATGCGCTAGGAGGGAATAAATCACCTACAAATGGTCAACATGGCGGATGGACGTCAGCAAATGAAGCACAGCCTCGTCATGTGAAATCAGCCCGAACCCGCTGCCTAAATTGGCACTAGTCCTAGTATTATTCCTTACTAGAAGCATGTATGAGTTTCGGCATCAACTTCACCGCACTACATCGAACTGCAGGAGGCAAACATACATTCTGCTATTCTATGAAGATCTGATCTGCTTCCCGTACGTAATCAAATTAACCGTTATACGCATACGATCGCTCAGCACGATCTGCAGAACCCGATTTAGATCTCTCCTTGCATATAAAATTACCCGAACAAGCCACTGAGCAACAATAGCATCTAATAATATGCAACGATCTAAATGATCAACCTCATCTATCACTCTGGTGAGGGTCGATGGCAATAGAAGTAGTTGCCTTACTTGACCGTTCCTTTGCTATATAAATGGGTTCATACTGCCAGCTCTTGATCTTTATTCTCTACAACTCAGAATCACCTTTCTATACTATCATCCTAAGAGCCCACCACCGAAAAAGAATCATTACCTGTGACCACCATGAAGATCTCATCTGTTCTTTTCACGGCCCTCTTTGCAGCCCTTGTCACGGCTGGACATGTGCACAACGATGACAAAGTGTCTGCGCATGGAAAGATGAAGCGACAGGCAGTAAGTAACGAAAGCAATATACATCCTTGCCTTTATTTGAAGAGAATATATATTGACTTCTCATCTGAAATAGGAATTTGAGAAATTGCCCCACCATTGAAGCCCGTGATTGCTGTTCCTCTTGTCTGGGTGCTTCTCGGTACACTTCGATTAACATCCGGAAGTGCTGCGGCGGCTGTGGCTGCTAAGGAATTGTTCCAGTTAGTTGGGTTGGAGGACCGTGGCAATCGTTTTAAATCTATGGCAAAATATGCCCTGAGCAGTGGCTCACAGAGCTATCTGCCTCATCATGTCTTGGCTTAGATGTTCCCTGTTGGCATAGGTTTTGTGCTGTTATTCGAACGCAAAGGATTGGGATTGAGTCCATAGTCCACATTATCTTCATCACTAGACATTCATTTTCGGTACTGGTGGCCAGAGGTTGTTGCTGATTACATACTGCGACCCTGCGCTGGATACTAAAGACTCTGTCCTTTTGTAGATCATGCTAAGTGGTCTTTGACCACAGTATAGAACTAGTAGTGTCTTATTTGACATGCAAAGCTAGGTGATTAAGATCATTCGAACGAGGCAATGATAATGGAAGATATTTAAAGAATAAGAGGCATTAGTTATAGCTTCGAACCCCCAAATTAGCCATTAATAGCGGTAATAATCATTATTGAGTGTCGCTGCATCATCCAAATTGTTCGTAAACCCGACTCCAGTAACAGGCCTCAACGAATCTCGAATTCCCCATAGGTATCATAAATCATGTCGTCACACAAAGCGTTATCAAATGCCCCAGCTCTGGATCCCACAGACAGCGTCCAACTTATTCCTTACGATCCGGGTCAATATCTTGTTTCCGGAGCTTCTCCCTGTCTACCTCCTTCATCGTCACATCTACAAAGTTCTTGGGAATCGGTAGGGACTCCCTGACTTAATTAGTGGATTACCTACACCAGAGAGGCGATGACGACTTACCGGAGAAATTTGATCCTCAAGTTCCTCGCACGGTCCTTTATTTGCACCTGGTTTCGGTTTTCGAATCGAGATTCTCCTTCCTTTTCAGGCTGTATCGCGTTCTCGTCTTCGATCTTTGTCCACGAAACACCATGCTCTTCGATCAAGCGTATCAACCGGGCATCTTCGGCCTCTGTCCAGCCTCTGGTTCTCCGCTTAGGTCCCGGTGGTGGCATCGCCCGCCGGTCATCCCTCTGTGGCGACCGGGCCTGTGCGCGAACTGGGGAGCCAGCAGCTTCCTGCGATCCGGAACGACGTCGGCCCTGGGCCTCACCCCCAGCTTCTTCGCGGCCGCTGTCTACCCTTGCGCGCTTGCTTTGTCGCGCCTGCACGGGCTTTTCGGCACGCCGGCGTTCCGTGGCTACCTCACGGTCATCAGTATCATAGTCCTCTTCGCTCTCAGAGACAGACTCAGTTTCGCGTCTGCGTTTGGGGGGCCGTCCACGAGGCCTCCGTTCTGCACTTCTCGGACCCGATGTCTGGCTAACCGGAGAAACGCGCACTGCATTTTCCTGGCGGTCGATGAACGCAGGTCGGGAGTTATTAGAGGCATCTGGAGTAGCCCGCGATCGAGAATTCGCCATGTTCCAGACATCCCTGCTTGAGGGAAGCGAAAGGTTGTTCTCCACTCTAGGAGGCGCCAGTGTAGAAGCAGGCTCTCGGCGGGGTCTCGGGACGGACCGATTCATCGGAGGACTGTGGGACCTCTCCGGATGGTTCTCAGTATGCTGACTTATATCGAGAGGTTCATCGTACACGAAAACCTCAGTGTCTTCGGCCGTTGTATGTTCATCGTTCAACCGCGTCTCTTCATGCGTCTCATCGCCATCATTCAACTGGGTATCCTCATAAGCCTCAGTGTCATCGTTAACCTGCGTTTCATCATTTACGAGCGTGCGAGAAGCGTCAAAGGTAGTCTGCGCCTCGTTGGGCGGTGCTGGGGTCGTTGAGCTCCGCCGAGGTGGGATTGCAGACACAGTCTGTCGCCTGTCGGCTGCAGATTGCTCTGCCACCTCGGCAGTATTGAGTCTGACTGAGTCAGATTGTCGGCGAGAGCTTGACGCATCAACTGAATGACGAAGCTCTTGCCTTCGTTGGCCCATCCGGGCGATAGCGTCTCGGTTGTTAAAGGGGCTTCTCTAGGTTAGCACATGGACAAACGCGGAGCGTTGGGGATACTCACTATTTACGAAACTTCTTCAGAGGCCTGGTCTCGGAGGGCTCTGTGACAGCAGGAGGCAAAACATTGTGAGCCACTGAAGAGACTCTAGGCACGCTTCTCTCCGGTTCAATGATTTCAGGGACAGTGTGGAAAGGGTTCTGGGCAGACATGGGTGTCGTGACTTTTTGTGCAGTCGCAGAAGCGGTCGCAGAAGGCCTTGCTTGCGATGAAGGCTGCGAGACCTGTGGCGTACCTGAAGTAGTAGCAGACCTGCGTGCTGTATTTTCAGTTGTGGATAGACGATTAGAAAAGCGCCCACTAGGTGTGGACAATGCCGGAGTGCCGCCTATACTTTGGCGTGACTTTGCAATGGTGTAAAAGCTTTCATGCATGTCCATGGAGCTTATTTGGCCTTTCAAGTCATTGTTTACCTCGTCACATCTCTTGCGAATCCATCGGGCGGCCTGCATGACGAACTTCTGCCAGCGGTAGTCACCCTTGAGCGCTCCGATAGTACCGTCGACTTCCAAAACGACACGCATATCATCATAACGGCTTTCAACATCACTCCGATATCTAGACGGAAGTTCCCCTCTGGCGTCAGTGAATCTTTCCAGACTGAAGCCGCGAAACCGACGTTCGGCATCACTTGGTGCGTCCTTAGGCACGTCCAAGAAAAAGCCAGTTGTCAGTATCTCGACTGGGTCAAAGTCATCATCATCCTGATGTGCTTCGAGCTGCATTATCAAGTACTGCGTGCGAATCTCTAGAGCAAGCTCCCAAGTCTCCTTTTCCAGGTAGCTTTGATCAACGGACTTCTGAACACCCTGTTCAACCAGATTTGCCATGAAAGGTGAAGGAAACTCATCGTGGATGGTGGAAATTGCCTGCTCTGGAGAGGATTCCGTACCAGGTGTAGCCAGGAGCATTCGCAACGCAAACCGAGCACAGTTGGCTTTGTAGAGGACAGGCTTCGAGTAGTCTTCAAGTCCACTGACGTCCACAATATGCTCCACGTCAAGATAAGTCAGAGGGCTCTTCTGGCCAAAGTACTTTGCTTCATGGTTCAGATTAGTCACAGATCGCTGCAACCGTCTACTCTGAGTGCCAGCAGGATCCCTCAGCTTCTTTGCCGTGCTCATGATGCTGACGGGATCTGCTGACCCAGGAACGAGGAAATCGAGAACATTGGCAGCTGCACGCTCCAAGTCCGGAAGTGCCTCGACCATAATATCGACATCCAGATCATTGTCCGGTTCTGAAGGCAATATAGTAGTACCCGAGATGTTGTGTTCATCCTCCGGAGTCTCAGGAATAACTTGGTTCCCATACTGCGGGCCACTCTTCTGAGTCGACCTTTGAGGGGATTCTTCGACCACAACATCCAAGCCTGCATGGAGGACAATGAGAGACGCCCCAAAACGGACCAGTAGCAGTAAGAAAGAAACTCACCCTTCCCGCTCACCCGTCCCTTACTTTGGGCCCCCCACCTTCTCCGACCGGCACCTGCCGACGGCTCGCCATCCTCACCATGACCACGAGGAGCCTGTTGAGTCCCAAGTCCCTCCAACTCTCGGCTCTGGCTTCTGGTGACACGCCTCCGCATAGGACTCCCCGTCCAAACCCCTTGACCTTTCGACAAACCAGTCGAGGGTTGTGCGACCTCTCGCGACTGAACCAGCCGCGCCATTCTGCCACCACAACAAACGCGCCCGAGAGGAATGGAAGGCGGTCAGCCGGCCGAGCACGTGAAACTGGGCAGCTATATACTTCAAAAGGGTCTGCTATTGATGCTAGAAGCCTTCACTTGGAGTAAACCGATGATAATAGCTGTTGTTTTGAGGCGGCAGTGATATTGTCGATAGCTTGGATGGCGTAGAGGAAGGAAAAGGAGAGATGGTGGTTGTTGGGGTGCTAGCGGTCAAACCCTTGGGGTAACTCGCTTATTCAGCAGGAATACTAGCCCCTATAGGGTAGGCGGTAGCAGCTAATTCACTAAACCCTAAATAAACCCTAGAAACCCTAGAACCCTACTGTTTACCATAGTTATCGGACCATGAATTAACGGACCATTCGATCTCTGCCACCATTTAAGGATCCTTACTATAGAAAGATCATCATTTAAAGGACATAGACTTGTAAATAGCAGTTTTCACTGCATGTTACTGAATAAGATGTATGTATCTGGTATGCCCTCTTTCTATTACTTAGGGTTTAGGAGGAGAGAATTAAGCATATACTACATCAAAGCCTAGCTTGTAAAAGGAATTGCATGAAATTTATGACTGAGATTCATTCTGCAGAGGTGCTACGCCGGTTAGTAACTATTGATCTCAAGATACGCCCTGATATCAAACTGCGGACTGAGTAAACTATCGCTCAAGACACCTATGAGTTGGTGTAAATGACATGAGTTGTGTAGTGGTAGTCATCTATCCAGATGATCTGCTCGAATTGAACTGTTTAGGATCCGTTATCTTGTGCCAACTACTACTGTATTGTGTGTAGATTTCGAGATAGTACCGGTTCAACTTCACATGTAGATGCCACTGGCTGCGGCCCGTACCGACAAAAGTTTTATATACTAGTACTTACCACTTAATACAATGAATGATGTGTGCAATTGAGACAGTTCCAGAAAAGTGCTGGTGTTTTCATTGGACTTAAGGTGACTATTACAAATAGCTAGACACATTGTGCCGACTAAAAGGGATGGAATGTTGTACTGCAGAGGTGAGGTACTATGGTCTTAGATGCGGGCCGTGCGAGCTCTGGGATGTAATGATAATAAAAGTTGACTAGTCATGATCTTGTACCAAAATGGGTTAGTTCCATCGATATACTACGGCATACAGATCATTGTGAATAATTAATATAATTATACTGCATCAAGAATTTTATTAAAACATCGCTAAGGCGCGAATATTACAAGCACCATATCGCATAATCTATACTGAAGAGAACCACCCGACATGGGAGACATGAGCGGGAGCAAATAAAGGTCTAATAGATGGCTTCGAACATATAGATGACACCAAAGACCAAGAATGCCGTGGCACCGCCCAGCGTTACTGTGACACGTTAGCAACAGCCGTGAAACTAGGAAGGAGGGATACATACCGACGCGCATGCTGACCTTGCCAGCAATAGCACTGCCGCCAATAACGGCGGCCGCAGTGCAAAGTCCGTGTCCCGAGATAGCACCGATGGTCACCCACCAGTAATCTTGACCGGCAGCCATAGCGATAGTTGCGATCTGACTGCGGTCACCCCATTCACCCAGGAAGGTCATAACGAAAGTTTGAACCCAGGCGGGACTGAGGAGAAGCGAGAAAAGGTTGTTCATTCCGACAAGAACATCATTCCAGCGGTTACCAGAGGGAGAGGAAGCACGAGAAGACGATGATGAGACACTTTCGGGAGGTGAGGGAAGACGGTTACCAGAGGAGCGAGACTTGCGACGACCGACGCGGCCAGCCTCCAACGAGTGGGGAGTCACAGAAGAACGGCGACGGTTCAGACGCAGCTGCTCTTGCTCCTTTTCTTCCAGTTCCATTTCGACCTCCTTCATCTCCTCTCCAACACCCTCATCGGGCGACATCTCGCGACCTTCCTTGAGCATCTTCAGACCGAACACGAAGAACAGAACGGCAGCCAACAATTTCGTCAGAGACTTGGGGATCAGAGTAGGTACTGCGTGTCCTAGGACAGCCGAGAGAACTGTCATGAAGATGAGGGCGCTGAAAGCCGCGGAGAAGACGAGCAGACGCGGATGACGCATGGCCATGAGCGCGGCAACGAGGAAAGTCTTGTCACCAATTTCAGATACGATGATCATAGTGAAAGAGAACAACAACGAATGGAATGCAGTTCCCTCCTCAAGCGGCTCGCCAGGCTTGTTGCCCGCCGAGGAGCCATGCTTGTCGAGACCGAGAGGGCTATCTTTGACCGTGGCCGGGGACTTGGGAGGTGGGATGTCGTGTGGCTTTTCAGGCAAATCTGCGGGTTTCTGGAAAACCATCAGCAAGCGTCATCAAGTCTCATGATAGTAGGTCTCAATTACCTCCAATTTGCCCAGGGTTGAGTCGGTGTTCGATCCCTTGGTGTCCTTGACATCGGCATCCTGACCCGCCACTGGCAGCTTTTGCTGCTCGCTGTGCGGCAATGGAGGTGCCTCCTTTGGACTTCCCGGCGTTTTCTCATTGTTGTATGGCTCCCTCAACTTCTCAGATACTCCACCCTCTGTTCCCCGAGTACCCTCCTTGGGACCCGTCCGATGAGGATCATCCATCACGCCGTCGTTGGAGTAAGGGATTGGGTTGCCATCAGGGCCCAATTGTTCCGCTTTAGGGTCGGTCTTTGCCTTTTCCTCCGACAAGGTGGTAGAGCCTGTCTTCTTGCGATCCCGCTCTGCACTTGTTTCCACCCAGGGACCAGCATGTGGCCGGCCATCCTTGCCGTCGATCGGGGCGTCCAGCGTCCCTTTCGCGGGCTTGGGTGCGGCAGCGGCATCTATTTCGACGGCATTTGGAGTCAAAGCTTCCCGCTCTGCGAGAAGAGAGTCCTTTGCACCGTTGTCGGCCGAGCTTGGATCCGTGAGCGCGACCGAAAGCGCAGGAAGGAGGAAGAGGAGAAGCGACGAAGAATGAATCTTCATGTTGTAAATCTGTTGTCGTCACAGTTGGATCAATTGCAAAAAAGATGAAGACGTTGTGTAAGTGATACAAGCAGTAGTCCACATGAACCGATAAGAAAAGGCCGTAAACGAAGGATTGACGTGAAAGTTTGGTTCCAGGTACGTCGATCGGTGTAAATCAAGCCACGACAGCGATCCGAGCGGACTCAAGACACGCGATCGGGAGCAATGGCGAGACGAGGCACGAAGCGCGGAGTCAACGAGATGGACTGGTCATATGAAGCAAAACAAGTAGAATACATGCAAGAAGGGAAAGGAGCGAAGCCGATAAGCGGTTGTCGAGGGTGGCAGGAAGCAGGAATCTGGGAGGTTTCTTTTCCGGCCGCAAAGGGGCAACGCCGCCTCCACATCACGTGGTGCCCGCTTGCGGTGGTCTGGTTCTTTTCCCCGTTTGAATCCCTTTACTGCTTGGCCAGCCATCGTCCGGCTTGCAACTGGCTGCAATCGATGCAAAGGGAGTGAGTTTCCGGGGAAGTCTTGTTTCGGCTGTACATTATGTGCAATTTGGGGTCATTTCTGGGGTCTAGCTGAGCATGCTTGCACTGTAGTCTTACAGCTGAATGCTGACCCCTCAACCCAATCGGGCTCGGTTGAATTTAGATGACTGGGCGGGCCGACTAACTAGTAACTACTCCGTACTTAACTAACTATTAATATCCCCCCTCCTTGATAGTCGTGCCTGGCTGCCTCCCCATCTACATCTCTCCGGGCGCTGCACATCTATTAGTATCACCCACAAAACATTTGGCCTGGGGCCTACGTACTCAGCTTCTAGTGCAATCAAGTGCTCACTAGTTGAAATGAGGATCTTAATCTTATTATCCTACCGAATGTGAATCATGGCAGATGTTCTTATCGCTGCTGTGCAACACCTATGAGCCATTCACTAGCAATGCATTCAGTGTTATCAGCCTTCTCTCACTACAAACTCATCGTAAACGAAATTCTCATCATGGCACGTCTCTGTCACTGTTTATGACGTCAGTCTCAGCTTTGTTGACTCTTCTGGCTATCGGCTTTGAAGATGTCGGACTCAACAACAATCAACAACACGCTCGCCAGCCCAATCGGGTCCCTTGCCTCCAGTCCCGGCAGCACCCTTGCTTCCCAATCCGACACTCCTCCAGCGCGGCTGAGCGCCAGCAGTGGCTTTGGCTTCGCCTCCGCCTCCGCCTGGTCTGAGATCTATTAGAATGAAACTGAGAAAGCTCCGGCCACGCAGTTGCTGAGTATTAGCGATAATCCCGGCCATCTCGAAAGCGATCCTTCCAGCCTTGTGGAGCACAGCCACTTCAGTGACGACTCTACAGACAGCATGGAGGACTACGATATCGTCAGTGGAGCCAGCTCCCCAAGCTCCCTGTCCTTCCAAATCGTTGAGCCAGAACGAGAGAAGCTCTACCCAATCGCCATCACCATATTCGTGGGAAGTCCACGTGCTCAGAAAGATCGACCCGTCCATCTCAGCTGCATCGTGCTCACATCAGATTGGCGCCAGGACTTTTTTCCAAACTCGTGCAAAAACAAAGCCGACAAGGCAGTGAAATGCAAAGACATCATAAAGTACAACGAGCAATGCCTTCCTCAGATCGCCAAATTTGCCTGTGCAATTTGCTCTGAGCCGACCCGCGCCCGAAAATTCGTGCATCAGCCCATTATGTTTACCCGAACCAGCAAATCCGGACTGGAGGATGGACCCCGACGCCGGCTGATCATGCGATTGGGACAGCTTGTTCATAGTCGGTGGAAGTTCCCTGACATGAATGCCACGCTTGGCGGTGCCGCGGAAGCTCAAGTCTTCGAAGTCGCCATTCCGGTGTGCAACAGGCCAGCCTGCGGCATAGCAGGTCGGACGTCTGCCCACCAACTCATCCGGGCCATTGTCTCGTCCAATGCGGACTTGGATCCATCAGTGCTGGACCTTGACATGGTTATTCCCTTGGCTGATTTAGGGGCTGGCATAGGAGATTGGACGCCAGAAAGAGCAGAAGTTTTGGTGACGAAGCTAGGGCCAGACTGTGTGCCTCTGGAGGTGCAGTCGCATGTCGAAGCATGATGGCTGATCAGGCGGGGGATTTGGTTATGATCTACGACTTCAACGCGGTAGAGAGATGGTTTATGAGCAAGATGGAGGTGTTGCCGGCGAATATCTATTATGAAATTATGACCTGGAGAAAATCGGTGGATTTACGAATGACTTGACTAATGGCCGGAAATGAAAGACGAGACAGATAGAAGTCGATCTAGAACAAACCGAAAAACGGAGTTTCTCGCCCATCAATCCCGCAGTAGACAGTATCCACCGTAGCAGTTACAAGTGGGAGTACGTACTCCCAACAACCTAGACTCCAGCATCCAGTTTATGAAGTATGGCCTGACTCGGCATCCACCACTTCCACATCAGATAAGCCCGATCTCCAGGCAACCATCAACCAACATCCATACCCATACCCACATCCTCATATTAAGCATACACAATACTAAGAATCTAGATATCTGACACCGATCCTCACCGATCGTGTGAATCCTACGGTAAACCCACCGCGGCAACTCATCCCTTAATCTGCCACCCGCAGTGTGTGTGGATCCCACCTCAAACAAGCTTAAGTATTAGCACCGTGACGAAACACCAGAACACTTCTAGACCGGGAGATGGGCTCCACCCCCTGTTTGAGATGAAGTGATTTACGTATAATGTTGTTGATATAGGTTGAATGATGGTGAGGCTATATAAGGACATTCCTGACACCCTCAATACTGCACTTTCATCTCTCAACCAAACGAACAAACGAACTTAGTATCCACAGCAATCATGCAGACCAAGTCCCTCCTCACCATCCTCCTCAGCGCCGCTCTGGCTGCTGCTACTGTTGACCCGGCCACTTCCAACACCAAGGGCAAGTGTCCTGGTACTTACAACTGCTCTGGTGTGTATTCCTATCCTAATCCAATGTTATTCACTACAAAAATATAAGTAACAATACTAATAAAACTGATAACCATGTAGCTGCCAAAACCTCCACCGCCATCCAGGCAGCTGAGTGCTCCCACAACACCCGTACTTCTGGTACATTCCCTTCCCCCAGAGACAACCCACGATTATACTGATGTATGTGATGTAGAAACCCAAACCTTCGCCGTCTTCGTCACCGACCACCAGTACGACTCCTCCTACGGCGCTCCCTACGGCACCTGCAAGGCGTACACTTGCACCGCGCCGACGGACAGCGAGATGACCGATTCGGATGATGACTGCTGGACTTTCTTCTGGAAGTACGTTTTTCTCCCCACTTTTCCCCAAACGCTGGGGTATCTTGTAGGAAGAAAAAAAAAAATGCTAATGATTGTTCGCAGCGACAACGGCGAGTCCTCTGGCTCTGGAACCGGATGCATTCGCAGCCCTGATGATGGAACTTGTGGATGCGAGAACTCTGATGGAACTTTTGTTTATGGGGGAACGGATTGCTCTTAACTTGACTACAACTTTCTCATTGAGGGTTGAGTAGTGGGTTACTACTTACTGGGAAGTAGTATGTGTATTGATTTGCGGGTTCTAAATCATTGCATTATAGAATACTATATCCCGGAAGTAATAAGTAAATGGCCAACCGACATAACAGCATAACAGGTACAGTACATGATCATAATATCCATATCCACAACGTAGATATAAACATACCAAAAACACCCATCATACTCCAACCAAGCACTTCCAAGTTACTATCACGTCCTCCCCGTCCCATCCAACTCCGACGGCCCCCTAACCATAGCCTCATACATCACCTGTCCCTGTCCCTGTCCCTGCCCATGCGGCCCCTGATATACCCCTCCTCCCATTCCCCCAACCTGATGCTGCATCTGCATCGACTGTTGTGGCGACTGCACCCCATCCCACCCCCATAACCCCTGCCCCAACGGCGGCGACAACCCACCAACAGTCGCACCACTAAACTCACTCTGCGGCACCAACGCACTCCCTCCATCCATCTCACTCTTCCTCTGCCCAGCAGCATTACTACCACTTCCCCCTTTCCCAGTACTCTGCCCCGGACTCAACAGCGCCGCCCACCTGGCCGTACGCTCATGCCTCCCATCTTGACTCGACATCCACTGCCGGTAAACTCTATTTCTTCCCAGGAGGAAGAATAAGGCGCCGAGAATGGCGATGAAGGCCACGGAGCCGATGACGATACCGACGATGGCGCCGGTGCTGAGGGTGGGTGAACCTGAGGAGGGGGAGTTGGAGGGGGATGAGGTTGAGGTGGAGGTGGAGGTCGGGGAGATGGTACCTTCGGCGGGGATGGATTGGCCTGGGACGAGCATGTAGGGGTAGGTTTTTGCGCGGTTGTATTGGGATTCGAAGGTCATGGTCGAGTTCTATGTTTCGGGAATGGGTTAGTTGGGATGGTTGGGGGAGGGGGAAGGGGATGTACCGGGTTTATGACGCCGACCATGCCGTTGCCGATGCAGGAGTCTATGGCTGTGCAGTAGAAGAATGTGGGCTTCTGGTTGTTAGTGATGTTTGTAGTGAGGATGGGGTGGAGGGACGTACTTCTGTGTCGTTGACGACTAGGGACCAGGTTGGGGGCTATGTTACGGCATTAATATGAGGATGATACTGAAGGCATGATTGATGGGAAGGCTACCGGTCCAACCAACTGTCCATCCTCCTCATTGAAACTATTGAAAATCCCCGAGTAAAAGATCTCTCCGCTGGCAGGCACACACGGCGCAAGGTAATCTGCTTTCACGACGGAGTGATTTCTCGGATAGAACTCGAAGACGATAATATCGCCGACCGCAGCGGAGACATTATGAGGCGAGTATTGATGAGGATCTGCCTTTGAGCCGACCTGAACAGTATGGGTTGCTATCGCGGTGGAGGTAGTGGTGGAAGTGGTCGAGATGCCAGTCGTGCTGCTGTGAGATTGGGCTGATGCAGTGGTAGCGAGCAGCATCGCCACAAGAACGAGCCGATGGGCTGCCATCAAGATGAACAGCATTTCATCAGGTATGTGCGCGATATACTTAAGAATTACGACGGGGAAGTTGTTCCGAAGGACAGGCAAAAAGATCGACGGATGGATGAGCGGCCACAAAGAAAAAAAAAGATGGATTGCCCCTGGATGAGATAACAAAGAAACTAGCGATGAAGATGACCGGAAAAGGACGCTGCATAGGCAGATGCCCGAATACGCAGAAGAGGGGCTGAGTATTATTTTTCCTCCTACGACGCATGGATCATGGATGGACAGCCTCTTCCCAACTCACACCTCGTGTTCCCGCATCGATCAGCCCGTGGCGCTGACTGGTTAGGGCTGGACACGATGATCTTGGCAGCAGCGGCCTGTCCTGTCACCAGGCGGGACTCATTTGTGTGTAGCTTCAATATGTTTTACATTCATTTGACAGGTCTCGGAATGGGGGGACAGTGACTCTCTGTATCTGTATCTAGACTGAGGTGCTGTTCGACACTTGGATCAGTGTCCGCCGGTATGTGGTCAACGGCGGGTTTCCAGTGTCTTTCACACGTAGAATCAAATGCAACAATTGGCAGCCATCCTCGTCGCAGCTGTCCTCCGCTGTCGGAACCTTAACCGTTGCGACTCTTCCACCAGCACTGGTGGTTATATTCAAATCGGCTACGTTCCCTTCCGTACTCGCATTATCAGTGGACGGCTCCAGGTACTGGAACCATTCGAAAGACAGACCATCTCCGTCGGGGTCATACGTCTCTCCCGCATCCAAGGTGATCTTCGCCCCCACAGACGCATTGACAGTGACAGGATTCAACCCGCCCGCCCCGTTCACAACCACCACCGGGTGGTGGTTCCAGGTCTTGTTGGTCTCCGAAGCGGACAACGTCCACTGCATGCGCGCCGCGAAATCATTCTGGTATGCCTCTCTCCAACGCCAAATGGTCGCTTTGTTAGACTTAAACGTTTGATTGTTCATGCCGATGGCCTGGTCCTCCGTGTCGCTGTAGTGGTTGTCCCAGTCACATGTTTCACAAACCGGCGTGTACCGTCCGCCCCAACTGCCATAGCTCGGGTGTTCGGGATCACCCAGTCCGTTCTGGATCATATACAGCAGCGTAGGGCTATCTCCTTCCATGATGAATTCGAAGTCGGGATACTTGGCCCCTAATGGTCCGATCCGAATGTTCTTCTTCAACCACTCGTGCGTCACATACGAGGAATCCGGGCCGCCTTTATCGAAACCATAGTTAATCTCGCCGGAGATTCCCGACCAGGCCGCCACTCCATACTGATTGAAGCCGTGCATGGAATTGATAAAGTGGATTTCGGGCCAGTTTTGGCGGATCCAAGCCCCAGTGTCATCCTGGTCGGAGATGGTGTAGACGCGCAGGTTCGAGCGGAAGGATGCGGCCTCGGAGGGAGAGTATGTGAGGGAGATGTTCAGTAGAGCCTGTGCGAGGACGTTGTCACCACCCCAGGACAAGACCCAGAGGGGCTGGCCAGAAGTTGTGTTAGTGAGGCTTTTGACGAGAAGTTCAGCACCAGGACTATAAGTGTTGTTGTTCTTGAGAGCCTCCATACCATATACCTTCATCTGGTCAGTTATGGTCAATGTCTGTAGTGCCGGTAGGGACATACCGGAAGACCATGAGACACAATCCCTCTCATGTATTCTGCCGAAGGGTACGGCGAATCTTCAGGAGCATTTTTGTTCAGGTTATCCACGACCTTGGCGTAAGCATCGATGGTGTCCAGCATTAAGTCCGGGCGGACTTGGTCTTTCAGCCATGCGGAAGTGACAGCCACAATGCCTTCATTTTGGAACTGATTACTGTAGACGAGATAGCGAACAAGAGATTCAGAGTCATCTGGCTCATTGGCAATATCCGAGAGAATGAAGACGCGCGGCTTGGTAGGGTAGGAAAGAATGGATCTGTTCGAGCTGGCTTGGCCATGAGGAAGAGCTAGAGTCAGCCCTGCGCTGAGGAAAGGCAGACACCCAAGGAACCTCATCTTGAAGATAACTGCGACTGAAGAGAGACTTGTTCCATTCTAACCACCACAGCTGGAACAACAGACATATTTATACCCTTTTCTGCATGTTCCCGGTGGAAATTCGGATGAAAGAGATGATGCAATGCCGCGATGACACCCGACAAGAGCCATACTGATTGCTGATCGGCATGCGGGGATGCGGATGCTTGCATTGTGGGGTAATAATCGCAGATGAACCCTCCCCAGAATCACAAAAGGTGATGCTGGACGAGACAATGGCTGAAGAATATCCACTCCACCTCCCGATTCGGCGTGGCTACACACTCCGCTTTCAGTTACTCGTGGCTCGAACTTCCCGATCGGGATATGTGAGGCGCTCCTCCACAAATTTATCCTGAATAGCCGGTTTGGGTGAATTTCACGCGTCAAGTATCGCACGATCATTGTGATTTCAAGTGTGAGATGGTGGGGAGCGTGAGGGGGTGACGTCAGCTTATGACCTGGACTGCGTTCACTGTTTCCGTTGTTTCCGGGAATATTGTCTGAGAGGAAAGACTCATCAGCGAGTTGCGCTCAGATTGCGGGTTGTTTTGTGGTAGACCCGTGTGCTTGGCTCTACAGTTTTTATTTGTTTGCTAGCTACACCACTTTGACTGTATTGTCGAGCACACAGTGTGCACGGGTAATGACCTACAGTTTGCTACACTGCACCAACTCGTCATTTTTGGTAACTCTGGTAAATCTGTGCTTTGGGTGAGTTCGCATTAGAGCTATCGAAACTTTTGCATTACTACTACCTATAGGTTCTTGTACTAATATTGACGACAAGACTGGTACTGCAGACCTGGTCTAGAAACCACACTCATAGCGGTAAGGTCACGACACTCGCTTTCGAGGACAAAACATCATTTCCCCAGTCCTCCTCCTCTAGATCTTCGTCATCTAGAGCCACCGGATTCACCGCCAGCGATCCCCGAGGCACAAACGAGGAAGTAAGGACCAGCAAGGAAATCACACTGAACTGTACACTGGCCACATTCCGAATAGCCAGATGGATGTCACCCCCTCCAACTGGACCTCCGGTCTCCACATACACCCGGTCAATGTAACTTCCCAGCAGTGGCGAGATGATGGCATACAGGACGATATAGGTCGAGTACAAGAAAGCCATGACCGCCCCGAGCGCGGAAACATTGTTCGACGTTGACTCCATTCGTGTTAGCGTCGCCTGGATATACGCTGCCAGGGAAACATCACCAGCCGCCCAGCCGAAAGAAACAGGAACGAAGCTGATGGCTGCGAACAAAGCATCTTTAACCCGATGCACTTGGGGCTTCCAGAATGGCAGATACCATGTGATCAGAAGCATGAGCGCATCGACTCGCAGCCAAGGCATGGGGGTGCGAACGCGGTTATTGAGAAGGATAACAAACAATGCGCCGAACAGCTCTCCGAGGTTGGACCCTCCCACCATAATCTGCGACCATGCAGCGTTGCCTAGATAGCGACGCGCAAGTGCTGGCATGACCGCGCTCTCAAGATAGCGATGAGCATACAAAGCAATCGAATATCCGGGCAGCAACCAGATAAATTTGCGTGTAGTGAAGATGATCCGCGCGCCCACCCAAATGGACTCTAGAAAAAGCTTGATTCCTGTCATCGCTGCTCGAATATAGGAAGTCTGATCGGGTGTTTCCGCCGCTTTGTGAGCTTTAAACACATCATCTCCAAGGAAGGACCAGGCAAGAGCCGCAAAGGTAAAACAAATGGGTGTCACGAGGAAGGAATAATTGTTCCCCAGATGAGGAATCAGAGCCAGTGCAGTGCAGAATGCGCCAGCAGTACCTGCTATCTCGTAGAAAATGTGAACCAGGGCGTCCAGACGACGCAGTCTCTTTAAGTTTCCGCCAACAATGTCCCTAGGAATGATGCGGCGGATGAGCTCGACCATTCCATAACTAAAGCCACTCATGCAGTAAATAGGGATGATGCTGTCCGTGTTGTAACGACCGTAGTAATGGAAGTCGTCCTGTGGGTGGTGAGGACGGAAGACGGCCGGGACAAAGGTGCCACCGGTACAAGCATCCATGATCAGGAGGATGGCGCTGAAGATGCCAAAGGCAAGCATGGCTGCCATTAAGATCAACCGAGCTGGGTAGCGACGGATCAGGGGGGCCATCAGGATTGATCCGACACACTGACAGGCTTGGTTGAGGCCGACCATCAGTCCGACGCGTTGGAAGGTCTTGGGGCGCGTGTTGGTGCGAAGAGCATCATAGTCGTAGCGGTTGGTGGCGAGTGTGATAACTGATCCATTGAACGCCTCTAGGCCAAACTTGTAGAGTATAATGCCTAGAATGTAGCACGCAGCTTCACGCCGTTCTTTGGGCGTGAAGTCATTCCAACCATTGCGAACGCTTTTGAACAGCCCCATTGCGTGGGATTATCTGCTCTTGCAAATCTGTAAAAGAAACAGTATTCAAAGGATGTACAGTCACGACGAGTTATGCAGCCAGACAGGATATCTTGTGGAGAGAACTGCGATATTTACATGAATTTGCACGGTCAGGGAATAACAAGTCGAGATAGTCTGGCGTGCCATGCTGATGAAGTTCAGTTGGAATTCCTACGCAGGGACTAAGTACACTACACCGTGGGCGGTACAGTTGGAGTGAAGTGAATCTAAAGTCAGATTTGAAATGAAAGTAGATAGGTGAAGGTACCATTACAAGTGAATAGAAGTTGAAGCTGGCAGAGGAAGAGGCCATAGAGAGGGATTCTAGTAGTAGTTAGCCTGAGGCAGCTAGGCCAGCACATGCATGCACATGGCATATGTCTATCAGGGCCTGAGGATCTGTCATATCGACGGCTCTCTGCTGTGGCAGGACAACTCCTGTCGTAATACCTGACTGATGTACCGCAAAGACAGATACATAGTCCATTATCTATCCGGCTACTACCCACCAGGCTGCACAGCTTATTAGACTTGACTTATAGTTGGACCCCAGTCCGGAAGTAAGTCCGGGCATCTGAATGATTGGACCGCCATGCGGGCGTTTGCTCAGCTGAACAGCGACCGAGATCCACCTGGATGTCTTGCGCTGGACGTTGAAAAGAAAGACAGAGTGCATGCGATGACGACATTTTGGTCATCCTGTGCGCTCGGAGCGCTTTCTGAAGCCAATCTTCGTATCGCCTTTTGGGCCTCACCTCCCCTGATCGTCTCTACAATCCTGGTTGCCCGGTCTGGTTTGCAACACCAAGCTTAGACTTACCCCACCTCACAAAGTCCGCTGCAGCATTAACCTGGCGGCTTGCAAGCCAGTTGTCGTTAATTCAGGATGATATATCAGATGATGACCGACTGGCGCGCCCGATGATCCCTTCGAGGATCGCCTCGTGAAATTGACCCCACCAAAATAACAAAGCAACAAACGGTCAAGCAATGGGTGAAACACGGCAAGAAGCCGACCAAAGAAAGCCACAAAATGCAGCCAAAAAAGGGGACGGAATGGATGAAGAAGCAGCAAGAGTATTCTTCTCTAACGGAGAATTCGAGTTTGGGTATTTGACTTACCACGTCGTGCGTGCGTGCTTCTTGCATGTTGTCGACATACAGACGGACCGTCTCGTGCTTGGCAGGTAGGCAGGCCACGTGCATCCCCGACCGCATGTGTTTCGCCTCCCCCAAAAAGATGGGAAGATGGGAATGCTCAGCCATTGCCGTTTTCACGGTTCCGGAGGGGTTGAAAGTTTCCTAGTCCAACCACTCCCCAAGTAGCTTGTTTCGTCACCATTTACGACAATTAAGAGTTAGCTATCTACCTTAGTTGAACCGGCCTGAGTCAAACAGCTATGCGCTGGTGTTTTCCAGACCTCCCATGTGAGCTCATGCATGTCCGGCTTGTCGATCGGGGAGTTTAAATCTGGTCAATCTCAAGCGTAGCGAGAATGCCATTGGAGACGCCAGAGGTACTCGGCCAGTCGCGGGTGTGGGGTGGAGCAGTGAGGTACCCATCCGGTACCGCTGCGGTGCAATCAAAGAATGACATTGAATTGACACCCCGTTCTCAGCTTAGCAGTAGCACCACATTCACCTGAACTAACCTAAAAACTAAGCTGGAGGGTGGCTCTTATCGGGAATCGCCTTCGATTCTTTCCCCCCCAAAAATCCTAAAAATTCTCAAAACGCCATCGTCCACTCAGCCGCGTGATCCCCCGCCCACCATCCTCACCGACTGATTCGACGCTGTGTTTCTTTTTATCATTCATTATCATCGTTTGTTTGGCTTTCTCCTTATTTTTTTTTTTATTCCTTTTCTCTTTTCCCTCTAGTCCTTCGTGCATCCTGAGGATATATATGGCTTCCTTCCTCCCCCACCATGTTGCCTGCTGAGCCTGCGCAGTTGCCGGTTCTGCTTTTTCGTCGCAGGCCGTGATTGAGCTTAGTCGCTTCGAGGTGTGGAGATACTATATCATCCTCGGCTTGCTTGACCATCGTTCGATCAACAAGTGGCCTGTTCAGTCTTTCTGGTCTCTTTGTGTGTATTATATTTCATCTGTGTGGTTAGAAACCCCATACCGAATGTTTGTGCTGCCCTGAAATTCTCCTCTCCTCCACCCTCCCAAGCTATCGTTAGGGTCCTAGCTAACTAGACGCTAATCTTGCAGATACTAGCTTCGATTCGACAATTGCGGGACCCCTTCCCCGAGCCGTTGCTCTGATCCCACTGCAATGGCGACTGGAGAAGAGCCTCCCACGGCGTCCCCCGCGCAGCAGTCGAACCCAGCTAGAGGCTGGTGGAAACGGCTGCGGGGGTCTAATGCCCCTGAGACGCCCGCCATTTCAACGAGTCAAAGCCCTTATCGCCCCAAAAGGACGCTGGGTATTCTGAGTGACAAGGAGACAGATGAAGTGCCTGGTACGTCGCAGCTGTGGGAGCGATCATTCGCTTTGCTTGTGGAGTATGATCTTGCTAACATTGACATGGGAATTTAGGGACCGTTCTTCTGCTCTCGTCAAACCGTAATGAGCCTCTCGGTCTGGAACATCAACCGCACCGCGAATCCCATTCGTCGTTGCCGTCGCCTTATCCACCGTCCCGTTCCTCTTCTCGTGCTTCTCGTGCCTCTCGTGCGCGCCAGCAGAAAAAGAAAACGCCGGATGGCAACATAGTGTTAGATCCTCAACCCGATGACTCCATGAATGACCCTCTCAATTGGCCTGTATGGCGACGAGATGCAGCTTTGGTGTCGTTGGGATTCTATTGCCTGATGGGGGGCGGTATGACCCCAATTCTTGCTGCCGGTTTCAGCCAAGTAGCTGCTGCGTATGATGTGACCACCCAGAAAGTCGCATATACGACAGGGTTGTACATGTTGGGTCTCGGGATTGGGTCGGTGATCATGTCTCCTACAGCTATCCTGTATGGAAAGCGGCCGGTATACCTCCTTGGAGCGACCCTTTTCATTCTTTCGGCGGTCTGGTGTGCGCTGTCGCCCAACTACCCGAGCTTGGTCATTGCTCGTATTTTCCAGGGCATTGCAGTAAGCCCGGTCGAGTGCCTTCCCTCTGCGACTATTGCCGAGATCTACTTCCTGCACGAACGGGCGTACCGGGTCGGCATCTATACCCTCCTGCTTCTAGGAGGCAAGAACCTGATTCCCCTAGTGAGTGCAGCTATCATCGGGAGTCTGGGGTGGCGCTGGGTTTTCTGGATTGTTGCTATCGTCGTTGGCGCTTGCCTCGCCCTTCTTTTCTTCTTTGTCCCCGAGACGTTCTGGGACCGCACACCTCGGCCACGAAAAGCTCACAAGCGCCCCAGCTTTTACCGTAGTGTGTCGAACATCATGTCCCATGGACTACGCGGTCGACCGCCTCACGCTCATCGCCTGGAGGAGAATCCTCCGGATGATGACCCCAACTCCCAAGAGCCAAAGAAGTCCAAGAAGGGTCATGTTGGGTTTGTGGATGACCATGATGAGGAACCAGAGACCATTTCTGAGAAGATAGAGGAGCCGGCTGGCCAGGATCCTATATCGTCAACACCAGAGCGTCCTGCCACTGGGTCGACGCCAAGCGAAGATCCTGAGAAGGCTGATGGGCTCCTTCATCCTCCGCCGTTGGCACACATTCACCCCCATGACATTGAAGCTGCTCGGGAAGCGGCGATCTCCCCATCACGCAGCGAGTCGCTGGACCCGGGTCCGCCGATCACGTCGGCGGCTCGGTACACCAACCGACTTCGGGATCAGCCGCCTATCCCGTTCAGTTACTATCTCCGTCCATGGAATGGCCGGATTGCTCATGACAACTGGCTACGCGTCGCGGTGCGGCCATTCATTCTCTTCGCATACCCCTCTGTGCTGTGGTCGACGGTGGTGTATGCCCTGTCCGTCGGCTGGCTCATTGTGCTGTCCGAGTCGGTTGCTACCATCTATGAGCAGCGAGACACTTACAACTTCACCGCGCTGCAGACCGGTCTCATCTACATCTCGCCCTTTGTGGGGGGCCTGCTGGGGACCGCTGTGGCCGGTAAGGTGTCTGACATTATTGTACAATATATGACACGACGCAACGGGGGCGTCTACGAGCCGGAGTTCCGGCTGGTGATGGCGATTCCCATTGCTATCTCGACCACCATCGGACTGATGGGATTCGGTTGGAGTGCGCAGGAGAAGGATGCTTGGATTGTGCCCACGATCTTCTTCGGCATCATCTCATTTGGATGCTGCCTGGGTAGTACGACATCCATCACCTTTTGCGTCGACAGCTACCGCCAGTATGCTGGGGAGGCACTGGTGACATTGAACTGGAGTAAAAGTAAGTTGCACCAAAACCACAGCATTCCCGAGTGAACGTGGATCCGCAAACTAACTATTGATGTAGATGTCTTTCATGGGCTGATCTTTTCGCTGTTCATTGTTGACTGGCTGGACGCGGATGGCTCCCGGTTGGTGTTTATCGCGCTGGGAGTGATCCAGCTGGGCTGTCTATTGTTTTCGATTCCCATGTACATTTATGGCAAACGGGCCCGGATGTGGACGGTTCGGATGCACCTGATGGAACGATTCTAGAGGGCCGGGTGGCCGGACCGGGACCCTATTGGAGGGAGCGGATCGGATGATTCTTGATTTTGGGTTGTAGATCTGGGTTGTATCATGATACCTATCTATATTAGATCGTACATATAGTTGACTATTTGCTACGATTGGAGCTGTCGTGCCGCCATCGAGCCCCATTTGACTACTGTGAGCAAGCCCTGCGGGGGTGCTGGGGTCATCTAGCCCAGACCGGGTTGGATGTCAAGTGAGCCCGGAGAGGGCGGAATGTCATACAGCATCCACAATGAGTAATTGATCCCTGCAAGTCATCTTAGTACTTTCCATGAATAAGATGAACAATTGTGCGTATGTGTGCCGGGCCACCGACACCGCCACCCGGACACACCTCACAGTCACCCAATTTAATTTCAATTCATGTCCCGTCCCCATCCAGAAGTAAGGATTCTCAAAGTATTTCATCCACAACAGACCCAGTTAGGCAAGCCACAAATCTCCCCGCCCAATCCGGATTCTAGACCGCTTAGTCACCGCCATTGCCTGTCCCGCCAGTTGAATGGCGGCTGAACGGGCACCAGCTGCAGCCCACGTCGATCATGATGCGCCCCACGACGTCAGAGAGCAGATGGGGGCATAACTAGTGACTGCCTTATTCAATTTGCCATCTCATTAGTGTGTGTACTAGACATGCTGCAGCGGCTGAGCAAATCCGCACTGGATACTACCAGTCAATTAAGTACGTACCTCGACACCTGAGGAATGGAACGGACGCGGCCAGAATGGCCCCTGACTGGTGGCTTCGCAGCCCGGAAACGGGGGATTTAGAGCCAATGAGGATCCACAGCAGACCCCTTGACCAGCTGGATTTAGTCTAGCGTCAAACGGCAAAACCGGTATTGCAATGCTGTGACTGGCCAATCACGGATGGAACACAACAGGCTGAAATCAACCTGAAATCTGTTTTGAATCACGGCGCGGGAAGGGAGACCCTCGGTTACGGGATTGATTAATTACGGGAGGCAGTTGGGTTGAACCAAGGGAACGCAAGCACAAGCAAATTGTATGATTAGACAAATCGATACTTTGGGGGACCTGGTGGAGTTGGCATCCTCCATCACTGATGGGCCACGCCATCTCATTCGTCGGGGTATCCGTCCATCATTCTGGTCCAGTCTGCCAATGCCTTATTTTTCGCTTGCCACCTTTACTTCTTTTCTCGGTTGCCACGGGATGACTCCCAGGTACTGAACACTGACTGACGACGACGCTCCCCTCAAGGCGTTGAATCGGGGACTAACTGGGGGTGGATTGTGCCTGTCCGTTTGTTGGAATGAGCGTGGGCCGGAAATCCGCGACTCCCACGGCTGCCATTTACTACAATACTGGCTCTGCCCGACTACAGACGCACTTTTGCCCTCTCCTGCACGCAGTCCTTGATATTAAACAGCTCGCCTTTCCAACCTTGTTTCAAAGCTCTTCTCTCTTTTTTCCCCCTTCCCCTTCTCTTGCTGCTGCTGCTTCTCCCC